AATTCATTTTTAGTTAATTTTCTATGTTTTGTATTTAAATCTATATAGGGTTTTAACCAACAAGATTGTCTAAATTTTAGTATTCTGTGAATTTTTTTTATTTTAAGCCCATGTTGAATACAAAGTTGCTGATATTTTAAATGAATAATATAATTTTCTTTATTACATAAGTCTGCAATTAATTTTGATATTTTGGAGTCTGGAGGTATTTTACTTTCAGGACAAAAAGGCAGCGAATTATGAGCATCATGAATTTCAGTAGGGTATTCAAGGTCTACTTCTAACATAAATCCGTAATCCCCTTCTGTTGATATATTTTTAATATCGAATTGATTAATTTCCAGATTATTCAAAAATTTAAATTCTGATATAGGAAGAGGTTGACTCATAGCCCATCCATATAAATTATTAGCATCTATGTAAGCTAAAAAGTTAACAGGTTTGTTACTATCAAAATCTTTCATGTACTTATTATTAGCACACGAAATTCTTTGGGTGCATTGAGTCAATCCCCCTCGTATAGATCTTTTAATAAAATTGTACATATCAGGATTGCTTATTAAAGTTAATTCGGTTCGCGTGAACTTTAACATAGCATCCCAGGAAATTGATGGAGCTGTTACATAATTAACTGGGTCAAGCTTATATATTTGTAGGCATATTATTCTAAAATTCTCAAAAACATCTGCTAAAATCATAACATCACTTTCTAAATACAATTTTAAATAATCCCTAATACTCTTACAATTAAAGGTTGACCAAACCTTTTGAGCAAATTGGTAAGCCTCAAAAGAACAAGGTTGGTCTGTTAGGCAATTATAGAAATATTCAATTGGCGGGAGCTTTTTTTCTTCCATTTTTTCAAAACTATCTAAAAAGTCATATGGGAATACCCCTTTTTGTCTCATTTGATTAAATTTCTCCCCTTGAAATTTAGTTTTTAAAAGTTTAAAATTAGATTCATCCATGTAGCTAGCTAGTTTTTCTAGACTAGAATTTAAAAACCTGTTGGAATCTATGAATTGAATTTTGTAATAATCTTTTTCATCAAATCTAATAGTTTGGGTCAAAGCAATATATAATTCCTTATTACAAGGAATCGGTTTTAAATTATTTCCTAATTCCTTAATAAATAAATGAATGTCATACCTAGAAAGGTTATGAAAAACTACTGGGAAAAACGCTTCAGTTAACTTATAATCTACTTTACAATTTTTATGGATATAGCCTATATGGCTACCAGAGAATTGATCATAAAACATTTCTGCGTTATCCCGTATCGGTAACTCACAGGCACAGCAATTTTCGTTGTCGACGGAGATCGGTTCGCATTCATCTTGGGGCCTTGTTTGGGTGGTCCAATATTTGTGGTATAAGCCCTTGGTAGTATCCTTGAGTGCTTGACAAAACTTTTTAATGCAATCATCTCCTTTAAAAAGAAAATATATTTATTAATATTAAATCACTTTAGATTGTAATATTGTTTTTACCTTCATAGGTCCATTGTCTATTAAGACTTGGGTTATATTTATGTACCACAAAAAATGATACAGCGCAAGCAATATGCTCTTGAGATGTCGTTGTAGATGAAATTGATGGATCATTTTGGGTTGTGTGAACTTTTTTTAATACCGCTTCAATGTCTGCATATATAACTACCGGTGGTGATAGTTTTTTATAAAAATTTTTAAATTTTGTTATGGTATTCGGCTTTGGATATTCCGCAGCCACTTTACCGCATTCCTTGGTATCATGTGTAGAATTTGTTGACGTTATAAACTGTAAACAGTTTTAACAAAAATAGGCAGGGGTTCTAGATTTTGAATGTTGTGAGTAGCATAGTGTTCTCATACAGGTTATATAAGCATAATGCATCAAATTGTTGTTTGAAATTGCCAGCAAATTGATATGGGATGGTCTCCCCTTAAAATCGGTTCTTACTACTGGTCCAACAATTTGTGTTCCTTTAGAATCGTGTTCGTAGACGTTAACACTAAAGTTGGGGTTCAATTTCTCAAATTTTTTTATCCCCTTTTTCGTAATAGGAAACTCTATTCCTGAAAAATTAAGTTCCACTTGTTTGTACTTTATTTTTTCTTGTGAAATGTTAACATTTATATATTTTATGGGGAGTTGTAATTGTTCTCTAGCAAACCTCCGTTGTCTGGGGTTAGAAAATGTTTCCAAAGAATGACTTTTATAAGCTATAGAAGCTAGTAAACTCCACTCAAAACAATAATTATCATTGTTTTTAACATTAATTAAAGCGTTCTTAGCCTTAATAGTAGGAGGTGCTGAAATATATCCTCTTACAGGAATGTGCTCCAATTTTATTATTGTAATATCAAAATATTTAAATGCTTTGATTGCCCATCCAGAATCTCTTTCCTGGAACTCACTACTAGCATTTGATAAATAATCGATACCTTCATCAATTCTATTAGGTAAGTTATCAACATCATACACAGATATGTAGGCCGTTCCAAAATGTTTAAAGGTTTCAATGCACTCTCCCTCCTCTGTGTATTTTACATATAGTCCATATACTTGTAAACTGAATTTTATTGATATGTATTCCTCTAGCCATCTAGTAAGAATTTGTTTAATATTATTTTGACATTGATTATAGAATTCTTTTATATCAATAAAATTGGATGTGCTGGTTGATTGAACCCTATAGGATTTAATTGGGAATTCTGTATCTGAAGCCAGATGAATTATTTCAACATCTGTTGCTCTTCTAGCAATTGCATTCTTATGCTTTTCCGATTTTAAATGTTTGATTTTTCCGGTTTGGGGATACCTTTCTCCACATAGGTCGCAGATAATTTCGATTTGAGACTTAATCCTTTTTGGATTACTCTCAAGAGCGGAATTTGCATCATTTCTACTTCGCTTAATTCCAGCACTCGAAGTAGATGGTAGCTGGTCAATAATATCATGTTCGTTGATATCTATCTTTTTTGTATTTTTTGCCCGGGCTTGCATTAGCGCATTGAAAGCATTTTTTGGTCCGAGACACCTTTTATAATGCTCACTAAATTTTTCACAATCTACATCAATTGAACATAAATCACAACTAATCTTATTCTTTGTTGCAATAGCATTACGAGGTTTTGAGCACTCCTCGTAATGAACTTCGAACTCCGACAGATTAATTTTGTTATTATCGCACTGCACTGAAGCCATTGCTTAATATTTTTTGTTTATACTTTTTTATTAAGCACACAAAAATTAAAAACGAAAATAGAGTTTTAAACAGAACGCAGTATACCGACGATGTCTATTCGTTCCTTAGATCCAAAGAACTAACTTTTACCAGGTTGATATAATTGAACGAAGACTCTTTTTTAACTATCTCTGTTTGGAGAATAGGGTAGGGGAGAGTCGTATATATTCGATAAACATATAGGATTGTGGGTGCGTGTGTGTGTTTTTTTTTTTTTTTTTTATCAGTTGGTTTTATTGTCAGAATATGGTATTTACAAAGATTAGGGAAGAAGTAATAAAGATAAAGTAGGGTAAATAGATATAGCTGTGAGTTGGTTTATTCCTTATAACCCTGCGGTACTACCTCGTGGCTTTGCTTCGCAGGATCAGGATTTGCTCTGTGGCGTTGTTCAGCTTGATGTCCCTCGTCGCACTCGGTCGCGCTGCCTCTCTAGGGTCCGTAGAGCTTTCATCGCTACCGCAGCGAAGTTACTCATTTGGCCCCAGAACACCTCATCCGAGATCATACGGTCTCCCAGCGCTGTCGGGTCCCTGGTCTCGCCCATGAATACATCCCTGTCGCGGTCAAACCGTGGACAGGTGAAGATGATGTGCTCCGCCGTTTCCTCAACACCGCATTGCGGGCAGCTAGGGTCATCGTCGTGGCCAAACCTGGTAAGGTAGCTCCTAAAGCAACCATGCCCGCTGAGTATCTGGGTCAGCCAGAAGTTTACCTCTCCTTTCGGTCTTTGCATCCACTTTTTGATATCTGGTATTACTCTATGGGTCCAGCGTCCCTTGGTTGATTGCTGCCAACGAGTTTGCCACGCATCTAGGCTTTTTCCTCTTGCCTTCGCCTTAATTTCCCGCCTCTGTGAAGGAGTGCACTGCCTTCCCAGATTGGCGATATCCTCGTGGATCTCCTTAGCCTCGACTGCCAACAAGTCGATGGGGATCATTCCCGAGATAACTAGAGCTGCGTCATCGGATACTGTGCGGAATCCGGAGCAGACTCTCAGGGCACAGAGTCTATAGGTAGATTCGAGGTCTTTCCTGTACGACTGCGTTTCGAGAGCTTCGGCCCATATTGGGGCGGCATACAACATTGTCGACCGGGTAACCGATTGGAGAAGTTGTCTACGCCCTTGTTTTGGCCCCCTCGTGTTCAGCATTATTCTTGATAGTGCCCTAGCGATGTTTGCGGCCTTTTTGTTTGCTTCCGCGAGGTGTTCTCTGAAGGACAGTCTTGTGTCAATCATGACTCCCAGGTACCGTATAGCTCTGGTTGATCCTATCGAGCAGCCACCGACTTGAATTTTCGCTGTCTCTACTTCCTTACGGCTGGATATGAGCACTGCCTCCGTTTTGTGGTGCGCTACATTGAGCCCTACCGCTAAGAGCCACTCCTCGATGATAGCCACTGCATCGTTTCCAAGACGCTCTGCGTCTTGGAGTGTTTTGGCCACAATGACGATGGCTATATCGTCCGCAAAGCCTATCACCTTCGATCTTCCTGGTAACGCCAGTCTTAAGACGCCGTCATACATGGCGTTCCAGAGCAGCGGTCCCAGTACAGACCCTTGGGGAACTCCACAGGTGATCTTGTGTTCCATCACCCCTCTATTTGTGTCATAGAGTAGGGTGCGATCGCTAAAGTAGGACTGTACAATTAGAGGTGGAGAACTATCGATAGTCGGCGCCATCGATAGTGAGCGATTGTTTTTTTCAAACCATCGATAGTGTCGATAGTACCATCGATAGTCACCGATAATATCGTCCGAAATTAAAAATTTTTTTTTTAAGTTTTTAAGAAAAATGGTTTATTTTAACCAAAAGTTTTGATTCAAAAATAACAGGATGTTAATGTTTTTCTCTTTGAGCCGGGTGCGTCTCTCGGAAACAATTTGCCCTGCCTTGCTAAAAGCTCTTTCCGATTCTACGGATGTTGCGGGAATGCAAAGGTATTTGCAAAAGAGGCCCTTTATGCAGGGAAGATCAGTTTGATTAACCTGGAATAAAAGTAAAATACGTATGTAAATATTGATAACTTATAATTTGTTTTCGAATCATACCTTAATCCATAACAGTGGGTCCACATCGTGACTGACAATTGCCCTCTCCAGATATTGCCTTTTAATAAGTATAGCATCCACTCGTGCGTTTCCGATTTTGCTATCTGATCGTTCACCCAAAAAATCAAAAAATGTGTCCTGGGTACTTGTGTCCGCTGCGATGGTCAGATCCTTTCTGGACTCTTCGATTGACGAATGGGCCAGTTCGTTTTCAAAAAGGTTGATGCTTGTTCAGCGTTTGAAGCGTCTTGAAAACCATTTTTTTTAAAACGTGGGTCCAATAATGTTGCCATCATACATACATTTCTTTGTTCATAAATTGAGAGTCGTTTCTTTATTGATTCCATTAATATATTTTGGATTGTTTTTCCTTGCATAGTTTCTGGCAAGAATTTTTCGATTTTCCGCAGAAGCCCATATGCCATGGGTATAATCAGAGATATGGTTACATATTTTCCACCAGAAACTTTTTCACTTGCTTGTGTGAAGTTGTGTGTGAAATGCGCGTTAAAGTATTTTAGCGATGTGAGACGCCCGCTATCGATGGCACTATCGATAGTGGACGGGCCGCTATCGAAGGTGTCTGCTGCTATCGATTGTGGCTCGATAGCGCCCAACCATCGATAGTGTCGATAGTGCCATCGATAGTTCTCCACCTCTATGTACAATGCCTACCAAGCTCTCCGGTACGCCAAGTTGGTGGAGTGCTTCCAGGGTAATGTCCCAGCGTGCCGAATTGAAGGCGTTTTTGATGTCCAGGGTCACAACTAGGCAGTACTCCTTGCTGCCTCCCCGCCATCTCGTTCCTTCTATCGCCTTCGCCGCAGTGCACTTAAGTGCAGATATCGCGTCAATGGTTGATTTCGCCTTTCTGAAGCCGAACTGCATGGGTGACAGATCCCCGGATGCTGAGATTGCCGCCTGCAGTCTGTGACTGATGCATCGTTCCAGTGCCTTGCCTGCGTGGTCAATCAGGCATATTGGCCTGTATGAAGACGGGTCCTCCGGTGCTTTGTTCGGCTTAGGTAGCAGAACCAGCTTTTGAATCTTCCACCGCTCCGGGAAGAGGTTTTCCGCCAGACACTGGTTGAAGACGTTTGCGAAAGCTTCTGGGTGCTCGGTCATGGCTAGCTTCACAGCAGTATCTGGGATTCCGTCCGGACCCGGTGCTTTCCCTGCGGGCATATCCCTGGCAACTTTCTTGATTTCATCCGGATGGATTCTGATCGGTGATGTCTCTGCAGGTTCTGCGTACGCGCGCTGAGGAACTGAGGTTACTGTTGGAAATAGGTGCTCTACGATCGTCTTCATGTGGGAAGCTTCTCCGGCGCCGAGGGGCTTTACCTGGCCCATCTTTTTGACTACAACTTTGTAGGCTGCACCCCATGGGTCCTGCTCAGCTGAGTCGCAAAGTTCCAGGAAACACTTCTTCTTGGATTGCTTAATGAGCCTTTTTAGAGTCCTGCGGCTCTCGGCGTACTCCAGCCTCCTAAGCTCGATATTTGGGCGACCTCTCGCCCTCTGCTGCCGCCTTCTGGCCCTCAGGCAGTCGCTGCGCGCTTCCGCGATTTCCCCAGTCCACCAGAAGACTGGTTCTAGGTTCCGATGGTGGCTCCTTGTTTCCCTCATGCTGGCTTTGCATGCCGTCACCATGGCTCCCATAAGCCTCGCCGAGCTGCTCTCCGCGTGTTCACCAGTTTCGGGATCTCTCCATCCTCTGAGAAACGCGTCCTCCTGGAACGTCTTTGGGTTAAAGCGTCTGTTTGTTGGGACCGTAGTAGCTGGCCGACCGCATGCTATGTCGCAAATGATGGCCTTGTGGTCGCTTGCAGTGTAGATTTCACTGAGGCGCCAGCGGGCTTGCGAGAAAAGTGAGCTGCTGATGAATGTAAGGTCCACAACGGAGCCGGCTCCTGCTCTGCTAAATGTGTGCTCCGATCCGGAATTTAGTAGAGCTACGTCAAGTGACGCAATGGCTTCAAGCAGTGTTCTCCCTCTGCTGTTCGTGCAGACTGACCCCCATTCCACGGCCCACGCGTTAAAGTCGCCAGCAATGATAACGTTTCGCCTTCCCCTTGCGTCGTCCACCAGTTCGTCCAGAACTGCCGCGAACTCCTGGAGAGAGTGGCGTGGTGGCAGATAGCAGCTGTAGATTGTGACCTCGTTCACCGTAGCTCGAATGAAAAACGAACCGGCTCGCAAGTGCTGTGGCCGGGATGACCCAATCGTCAAGATCGCCGCAGACTTCGTAGTATCCAGTACATAGTCCAGCCCGGGGATCTTTTTGTACGGCTCGCTGATTATCGCCACATCGGCTTGGATTTCCCGCACAGTCTGCTTTAGTAGATCATGCGCGGCTTCGCAGTGGTTGATGTTGACTTGCAGGATCTTCACTTTTCTGACGGTTTTTTGCTCATAGGGCATCTCCTGCTACCTGCTATGTGGTTAACCGCTGTCTTCCTAGCGCCAACGCATAGAAAGCAGTTTGCTTCTTGCGAGCAGTTTGCTACCTTATGCCCCGGTTTGCCGCACTTTAGACAACAGGCGCTGCGATCTACTCCGCTCTTGCACCGGGCCGCTATATGCCCGAACTCCAGACACTTATAACAGCGCCGTTCGGCCGATCTTTCCCGAACCCGGCAGTTGGACCAGCCTACCTTTACTTTCCCCTCTGCGAGAAGTTTTGCTGCTATTTGTGGCACCAGTCCGAGAACGGCCACTTTTGTGCCCGCGTAGGCTGAGCGAAGCGCTTTGACCCGTGAGGCATCCACTTGGTGGCCTGTTGCCGCAGATACGGCTGCTGCTACCTCCTCTTTGGTGGACAGGTCGTCTAGGTCGCGTATTTCCAAGTGGATTTCCTCCACAATTGCTCGTACGCAGGCATGGTCGCCAAGGACTCGGCCAATGTCTTCCTTGATGGCTTGCGTGTCGCTCCTTGCGGACCCGTCCAGTTCCAGAAGCAGCTCTCCCTTGGCCGTGCGTTTTATCCTGCGCACATTCTTACGGACTTCCTCCAGCTCGTTGTCGTCTCTCCTCGTTACCATATTTAGGATTTCGCTGAATGAGTGGCCTTCTGCCCCAGCTATAACAAGGGCGTCAGGGCGAACTCTCCTGATAGGCTTATCCGCATTGCGCTGCGTCGTCTGCCCGGACATTTCCGGTCGCGCCCTATTTTCCGGCACGGGTGGCTTTGTTGCCTCTGGTCCTGGTAGGTTCGCCTTCCTAACCACTTGGCTGTATGACGCCAAACCCGGCGTTGTTTGCGTGGCCGCGCGCCCTTTTGTAGCCTCTACCTCCTCCAATCTTTCGCTAAGCTCTAGCTGGATCTCCTTGATGCTCATTAGGGTATCCTTCATGCTCTGGTTTATGTGGCGAACTGCCGGCTTCTTTTCTATGCACGTTGAAATCAGTCCGTCTATCAGATTTCCCAGATCGAACACTAGCTCGACGGGGGGCTTCTGGCACTTTGATTTTTTTGCATGCTTCTCGGGGCTTGAAGGGCTCATAGCATCCCTGCCCCTTTTTGGCGTCTCGCTTTCGCCAGCCCGCTCAAATGGGAACATGTCCCCCGCCAAAACCGGCGGCGCTGATGGTGGGGGCGTTCGACCAACCTTGGGTCGCTTATCGAACGCCTGGAGGCAGCCGATTTCCGCCGTGGCGTCCATCGGAAGGCCTCGTTTGTTGCGCCTCTTCCCGCTAACCCTGCCTTCGACCCCTTAACTAGTAATACGAATCGGTATAGCTCCCCCGGTGGCCGAGAAATTTCCTTCCGGCGCCCGATGGGGGTTTCACCGCCCCTGATCGGTCCCCAGAGCCCCTTTTTGCCAGAGGCCGCTGCGCGGTGGGGTTGGGAGGCAATGCGGTCCTTGCCTTTTACTCTAGTTTTTTTTTTTTTTTTTAAATCAGCAGATGCGCTGACAGAATCTCGGAGCTGCGAGACTAATCGAAGGCGCTACAGGTGCTTCCAAATGGCAGCACTGACCCAATGGCAGCACTGACTCAATGGCAGCACTGGCCGCGATCAGCTGGGCTCTGCTCGGAGTTTTTCAGCACTATCAGCTGATTTGCTTCGATCGTTTGCTGGTTTGGGAAAGCAGGAAGGGAAAAACAATCGACGGTGGAAAAACAACAACAAATATCAAATAGCTTTGTTGTGGAATACGCGGGATTTCCCCCCTGGCCCTGCCTCCTCCGCCCAGCAGAGGTGTGCTTGGGGTGCGATAGAAATATAAAACGTCTTTGCCACAAGGGGTGTTTGCGGCTGTGACTTAGTGGATCTCACCCTGTGCTGGTTGCGTAAGTTGTCAGATCGCGAAAAAATTCACAGCTTTCCTTTTTTGCAGCTGGAATTTCGGAGCTGGACAAGATTTCCGGAAGAGCTGATTTGAAAAACGTCCGTGCACGTGACTCACTCACTCACTTCTCCCGGTGCGTGTGTGTGTGTGTGTGTGTGTGTGTGTGTGTGTTAAGGTGGAAAATTTCTAGAAGTACATGGTTTTCAAACAACTGTGATGGCGACTGAATAGTTGTGTGTATGTAGATGCGTTCTGTTTACTTGGGTGGTTTCAACCCAAATATCCTATAGAGAATATGGTGGTGGAGATCTTGTCGAGATCTCATACTATTAATTAAATGGGTTTACAATCAGTAGTTCCATGAATTAATACAACTACAGCTTTAAGTAGCTACAACTAATGCATTCGGCCTTTAATTTTATTGGGGTTGAAAAGGGATTCAGTAATGCCATGGGTTTCACCGAAATGTTCAGTGTGCATGGTTCAGTATCCCAAGATTTCGGTCACCAAAAACACAAACATTCCAGAATTTTACATTAGTTCACTTTTTCGCCGCCAGGGGGGCGACAATGAGAGTAAGGATATATGCAACCCGCCAAACGGCCAAAGCGCCATCTATGTCTCAGTATGCGCGGCTTAGCTCGTAAAGCGTCATCTAAGAGTCATTTATTTTGGGTTGCGTCTTGACTATATGGGGATCAATTTGACAGGATCCCTTTGAAAACTGTGATTACATATATCCTTACTCTCATTGTCGCCCCCTGGCGGCGAAAAAGTGAACTAATGTAAAATTCTGGAATGTAAAGTAGTCGTTTGAACAGGTTAACCGCTGAAACTGTTTTTGATTCTGTTGAGATCAGGATTTGATTTTAAAATATGTTAAGTAACAGCATAGAATTTTTGTTTTATATTAAATAACATTTAATCCGGTAGCGCAGGCGCTGTATTTGTACCGGTTGAGCGCTGGAGTTGATTTAAAAATATAATAAATAACAAACAACATTTTTTCTTAATAATTTTAACTATGTAAGAATATGATAAAAATTTTAAATCGTCAGTTATTTTTTTTATGAATAATATATATTTTAAAATTTTATTTAGACAGTTTAAATTGTTTAAGCATAATATTATTATAATATATAATTAAAATATATAATTAATAAATATAATATATAATTACG